TTGGTGCCCCCTTGAGCTGCCAAACCCTCAATCATGGTCCATTACAGACTTACGCGAATCGAGTTCCATTCGAGGGGACACATTTCTCTATACCTGCACGGAGAATAAATTTACTAACATAAAGCATATGAACCCCGAAAGCTACTTGCTAGGTCTGACGCGAGAATAAATTCTCACGAAGACGTCGCTTTCACTCCCACTTAAAAGGGAAAGGAACTCAGGTATAGAGCTTATGTTATGCATGCAAGTGTTGTGTGTGAGGAGAAATTTTCACACAAAAATTAATATCTAAAAACAATTAAAATAAACATATATAAGTGTAAAAATAAATTGAAATAAATAAAAAGAATAATAAATTAAATAAAATTAGATTCTCATTCTAATTATAGAGACAATATATAATCAACTTAGGTTGACCAGAGTCCCCAGCGGAGTCGCCAAGCTATCGTAACCGGTTTTTTCCCGGGTACGAATTTTACTTGGCGGAAAGTAAAATGAATAAATAAATGATTTGATTTTAAAAATGTTTTGGGAGTCACCATTGACCTTTTTGGGTTAGGTAGGTCAAATACCTAAAAACAATATTTAAAATAGTTTTTATGTTTTAAGAAAACATAATTTAAAAGTAAACTGATATGCGTATAACAAAAAATTTAGTAAAAAAGTATTTGTGGTGGTTGCGTTTAGGGAATGATTAGCACCCCTATAACACCAAAATTGGTACCCATTAATTATAAATTGTCTCTATTATTGGAAATTTAAGAATTCAAAAAAAAATATTTAATTCATAATCCGGTTATTTCAAATTATTACTATAATTTTAAGAAAATATATTAATAATTATATCTTAATATATATATATAAACTTTTTATAAGATATTTTTTTACTTTAAAATATCAGAAAATGATGTAGTTGCTTTAAGACAGTCCCTTTCTTAATATTAAAAAATAAATAAATATTAAAAACATGATTAAAAATTATAAAATAAAAACATATATATATATATATATATATTTATAAACATGATATTATTTTTTTAAATACCATAATAAGACATCTAGTTTTTAAGACTGCCCTTTCTTAATATTTAAAAATATATAATATTATAATTTATAAAATTAATCAAATAATATATATTAATATGACTAAATAAAATAATAATAATAAAATATTATTAAACATTGAAATTTAAAGAATAACATTAATTAAAATATAACTAAACAGTGTCTAAAATAAATAGAATTACAACTATAGTATTAAAATATAAAAAGTAATAAACTTGTAGTTAAAAATAAATGAAAGTATTAAAATTAGTGATTAAATTAACATATTAAAATTAAATGCCCTAATTCGTAATATTATAATATCTAAGTGATAATAATGTAATTTATTCTTAATGTAAATAAATGTTATTTAAAATTATAGGGGCGTAAACAGCTATTTTACCTTATATATATATATATATATATTATATATATATATATTATTATTTAGTGACTGAAATAAACATAAATAAATTCAAACATCAAATTAAAATAAATTAAAACATACTTTTGGGATTAAAATATTAATAAAATTATAGGAGCCAAATCGGTTATTCACCCTAAAATATATATTATATTAAGGATTAATTATAATAAACTAAAATTCGAATACCAAATTAAATAAATAAAAACATGCTTTAAGGATCAAATTGCAAAGTTTTAAAATTACAGTGGCTACCCTAAATATCCTTAGATTTTCATAGATCTAAAGAAATACCTTCGGTATTCGACTTCAACGGTGGCGCGTATGGGCGCGTGGGAACTCTAGTGGCGTCGCAGCTTCCTCGGTAAGGTTCTTCTCTAATTTTTGTCTCGTATTTTGGTGGTTTTTTGATTATTGTGTGCTCTCTCCTTTTCTTGTAGGTTCGGTCGATGGCATTTATAGCCATCATCGACGCTTGTTGCTCGGACCGGGTAAAAGGGGTGAAGTTTGGTGAGTCACCAAACTATGGTGGTGACTCACCATAGCCTTTAACGTGGACAGTCGGTGTTGAAGCTTCTGGAGGCTTTGGAGAACGTCGTGGCAGTGGCGAAATAACGTGGAGCGGCAGCACAGAGGCGGCGTTGCGTGGCCCTAGGTATCATAACCCCTAGCGGCGGTGCGTGCCCTAGGTATCATAACCCTAGGGTTTCTTATTGGAACCATCTAGACCATTGGATCTAAGCCAGATCCAACGGTGGAAAGGAGCGGCGGCTGGGCATGAGATAAACCCTAAATAGGTTTAGGGTTTATATTGAGTCGGTATGGGTTGGACTCTTATAACTGGTACCGGTCGGTTTGGGCCTGTAATAATATTAATAATAAATAAAATAAAATATATATAATAATAATAGAAATAGTAAAAATAAAATAATAAAAATAAAACCCCAAATAAAAAAAACTAGTGTCTTCACCAACAATATACTAACCATTCACTAAATATTCATTAAACACTCCATGCGTTTATAATCAATCATTCGTAATTATATAATAAAGTTTTTCTTAATTAAATTTATTGTTTCGTTATCATCCAGTTCGTGACTAGATATCAACAAAGCACTTTCGTCTGGAATTTAGTAACCAAAATTCAATAATGAATTTAACAATTTTGTAGAACATCCCTGCCTGCAACATAAATCAAGCCGATACGCATTTGCTGTTGTCACTAGAAGTTGGTAATTAATATATTTATCTTTTGAAACCTATATGTTTTGTCTTTAACAATGGAGGATATGTTTTTGAGGTTTGACGGTGACATGTTCACGACCGGCGACCAGGTCCAACGCGATGACTAATAAAAGATGCCGACAAAGACAATCCTTAAAGATGATTTGTTTTAGTGACAAAAGGGTTATTTTTGTCCATATAATAGACCCAATTTGTTATTTTCGTCCTTATCGTATTTTTGTATTAATTTAGTCATCAAAGTTGCTCAATTGTATCATTTTATACCCTACATCTCACTTAAAACCTTAAATTGAGGGTTTTAAGTTTAAGATTAAGGTATAATGTTTAGGGTTTTAATGTTATGTGATTATGGTTTAGGGTTTTAAGTTTGGAATAATGTATACAATAATACAATTAAACAACTTTGTAAGTTAAATTAATATAAAAATATGATAGGGATGAATAATAAATTGAGTCTATTATAGAGTCAATCTCAGGTTGAAGACCAAGGTCGCGCTCCCATCCAATGGATGTTTCTATGCAATTTGGTTTCTGATTTGATTAAAACAATTCACTTTCGGTCTGCTACATCATTTTCATATCGATATTGACATTAAAATAAAAAAAATTGATCGGTCGATTAAATGGACTGATTTATCCATCCATATGATACAAACTTATATTATAAATACAAATTGACAATTACATATAATCGTTATTTTTGTGTGTGTTTAGATTATAATTGGCTGGGATTTAATATTTAAAAATACCCCAAGACAGCTGGAGTGTACATATAATGATTCAAAATTGGCATGACTTAAGTGAGGTTTCAGTTCAACAATATAAAAAGCAGATATGCATGAACAACAAAATCTAATCTACACACAATTTTATAAAAGATATATTAAGACAAAATAAGACTACATTGATATATTATTATTAATCTAAACGGGGTTGGAATCCATCACCCATCAGTCAAATGACCTGCGTATCTTGATGAAACATTTAACCCAAAATACAAAATGACAAACATAAAAAAACCACAAATCTCTTATCATGCAGTTTTGTTTAAACAAGTATGTGAAGTATAAAAGTCTTTGACACCGATTAATAGTCGTTTTTCCTTTAGTTACAACTCTCCATTTAAATAAGAAAAGTTAAATCATCTATCATCATTGTGATGAATTTATTCTTATCAATAAAGCAGAACTTGTAAATTAAGTTAATAGACAGAAGTTGTAAAGATGATTTGTTTGTCTGTTAATGGTGGATGAAAGATTCTAATTTTGATGCTGACAAAGTCTAATTAACTTAATCAGATCTCTAAAAAGTATATGATCATATAATCCTTTTACCACAGTAATTTCATAACTAAATACTTTATGAAAACAAATGAACTTTAGTTTAGTTTTACTAAATAATTGATTGACATGTTCCTTGACGTACTCAAGTCCATGGGATCATTACTCGACAAAAGAAAGTGTGAGACTTGAAAGTGAGTTGCTAGCATACCCATTTTGGAAAATCGTAAAAGGACAAACAAGATAAGTTCACTTTTGCTCATATAAAGGATTCACCATCATTAAAATACCAATTGGTCGTCGCACGGGAATTGATGAAAATTTATAGACTTGTTTGATAATCTATGAATTAACCCGGAGTTTGACCCGGTTTCGGTGCCGGTGCCGGCTCCGGCAAGGGGCAGAAAGCAGAGGAAGGTCAGCTTTCTTGCCAAATCAAACAAGCTCCATGAAGGTAATGAAGAAGAAGAACACGTGGTTCATACAAAGAAAAGAGGCTGCCCGAGGAATCCTTGTGGTCTACCGACACATGGCATTATGTATTGTCAGGGTTGAATGTTAAAGGTCGTATGGTCGTAGTCAGGGATGGAATAAGGGAAGGAGGGTGGTCGTCCTCTTGAAAAAAATTTAATTTTTTATATATTTTAATTTTTTTGTATTTTTTATTAAAATTATGTTTTCGTTTTTTAAAATTTTGTAATATTTAAAATTTTATAAATTCATTCTTATTAACATAAAATTATGTGTCCATCTCTAATTGTAACTGTTCATGTCTACGTATATAGCTTCACACAGGCTCAGTGGCTAAATTCTCCCTCCGCTGAATTTGTCTCGTGTTTTATATGCTGTAAAAAGTATAAAGATACACGTATATTAATATAATATACACAAAGCTTATTTATCATGTGCAAGTAAGTTCAAAATAGAAGATAAAACTTACTAATTAAATGCAGAAACTCCTTTACACAATAGAACATCCCTTTTGTTTTCTGGTCTCTTTCCCCACACCCTCTTTTTACAAGAAACTGCACTGCCTCTCTCAAGTCTCTAAATTTCATCCTTTTATCAACCCATCTTTCGCTTCTTTCCTTATTCCTTTCTTCTTTTTGCATTTAAACAAAGGAACGATGACTGGGGGAATTCAGGAAGGTGATCAAAGTGTGAGGCTTGATCTTCTTAAGCAGAAAATGGCCAACTTTGCCAAGGAAAGGGACTGGGATCAGTTCCACAGCCCTCGAAATCTCCTTTTGGCCCTGGTATATTTCTTTATCTCCCTTTAGGGGTATGTTAAACAAAGCTTCATGACCAACGTTACTATCTCTCCCTCTATGTATTTTTCTCTGGGTTTTCAAGTTTGTCTTTGAATATTATATAGACCATAGTTTCCATTTCCATGAGACAATAAAGATGAAAGGTTAGCGGTTACTGGTATATATTATTGTTTATTGTAATCGTTTCCATGGCTTGCACCTCTGCAAGTTGCCTTTTTTTTCTGTTTTTCTATTATTAGTTTACTACTTTTCTTGATATACCGGATAGGGTTTTAAACCTTTCTTTCAACATGGTCTGCAAGTGCTTCACTTTTTTGTGACGATTCATGTAGGTGGGTGAAGTGGGAGAATTGTCAGAGATATTTCAGTGGAAAGGGGAGGTACCGAAAGGGTTGCCTGATTGGAAAGAAGAAGAAAAAGTTCACCTCGGTGAAGAACTCTCCGATGTTCTTCTCTACCTTATAAGGCTGTCTGATATCTGTGGCATCGATCTGGGGAAAGCTGCTTTGCGCAAACTAGAACTCAATGCTATCAAGTACCCGGCTTCCAAGAAAAACTTCAACAATGGCATTGCAGAGAGTGCTTGATCATTATCTATTTAAATGTTCGGTTTTCTTTAAGAACTTGTATTTATATTGTAACAATACGAAACTTTAATTATGAAAAGTGTTTTACTTTCGGAGAAGGCTCTTTAAACTACTAAATTTTCGTCAATAAAGGTTCTATTCTATGAGCAGAGCTTTTAGAAATTCGTCGTAGGCATTATGCTATCTTCGAAATCATAATCATTCTCCAAAATTATACTCAATTTTTTATGACATTTAATAGAACCAAATCTGATAGTTGACAGAATAGTGTACATTCGTATTTCTATAGTCTGATCTGTTAACAATCATGGTGACCTTAACATCAACCGTAAAAAAGGTAAGCATAAAAGTCTATCGGACAAACCTGATGAGATGACTTTCTCTTTTCCTACTCTCTTATGTACTCTATTCATCTTTTTTACCTTCATTCCTTCTTCTCACTTGGATCAACTCTGGCTCATGATCGAGTTACCATCAACGACGAGACAAGCTAATTTTCTTAACAAAAAGTGAAAGTTAAAAAGATAATATTAAAGAAAATTAAGAGCATAATTGGATTCCTTGATGATTGGTATCTCTTACCTACTTTCTCTTTGAACTCATTTGATGAAGCACCCCATCTCTTATAATCATGACTACCGCAAGCCTCATTTTAAAAGGGGAAAGAAAACCTTTTTTAATCAAACTTAGAGCATCACGATTATAATAATTAACGACCATAATGACCATCATCATTAATGAAACCCTGCCCTATCTTTACACTCAATATATAAGAAACCGAGTTGCGAATTGGCTGAAACACTTTGCAATCCGCATTAGCACCAACCGGTCTTTCCCTTTTTTTTCTCTAAAGGATGTTGAAAAAGGGTTCTATGACCGTATTAATGTTTCCAAACTCAACGCTGTTGGTGTCGTGCTGCCGGGGACGGAGGCGTCTGAAGAGGAGACGGGGAAGCACCATACGGCTCGGGAATAAGGCTAAACGTCGAGGGTTCTGGTTAGGGTCACGCCCGGTGGTTCGATGGAGTGTCGTGGTTGGTCCTCTGAAAATGCTGAAAAAGATCATTTCGGAGATCACGGTCAAGGAAAATCTCATACAGGCTTATTATATGTACTTGCCCTTCTTACGCCCTCAATTGTTTCCCTTTTGATATATAATTTGCATATATTCATCTCCTCCTCCTCCTCCTTTCTTATGTTAATTTTCTTTTGCCTTTTCACACCAATTGGTATTTGAATTTAGTGACTTCTATCAAATAAATACTTTAAAAAAAATCTCAAATCAATACTTATGTTGACTTTTTTTTTTTTTGGATAAGTAAGTTATATTCCATCCAAAAGAATGCAGCCAAGGCTGCTACAAACCGACACAGACATACAAGCGCAAAGACTACTTACATCCTCAAATCAGAATATCCATGCCTGTACATCTTAATTTTTACAGACTCTAACAGTCTATTTACAATTACATCTATCGAACGAATCAAATTTCTATGATATCTATGATTACGTTCCTCCCAAATGAAGTAAAGAAAACCAGTCCACACAAGCTTAAGGACACGAACTCTAAGAGATTTACCTTTGAGGTTAGCCAAGAGCCATTGAAGGAGATCATCTCAGGAACGAGCCACAAACGAGAGGCTACAAGCATTCAGAACAACCCCCCAAACACCTCTTGCATAAGAACAGTCAACGAAGAGGTGGTCACGAGATTTCAAACCAGCACCACACAAGCCACACCCAGTATCCACAGTCAGTCCAAACCGAGCAAGCCTATCTTTCGTGGGTAACCTATCAAGAATGACCATCCAAGAAATTAAAGAAAACTTAGGAACATGGCCCGGGAACCAGATAAGTCTATGCCAACTAACTTTCTCCTTGCTTTCACAAATGCAATCCCAAATCCATTTCCCATTAACAAGATTCCAGTTAGCCTCATCTCTCAGCTTCAGAAATTTGACTAATATCCAGCTAAAGTGGGGTTTGCAAACAACCTCCCAGTAGCTCACAGATTTAAAATCATTAGATTAATGATGTGATATTGATCGATTGATCAACATGATAAAATCATTAAATGTGATATGTTATAACTTAATTGGTTATTAGAATACCGCACTGGTGTTGGCTATCAATTTGAGAATTTCCTATTCCAAATTTATGTATCATTTTGAGATTTTTTTTCAATTTCAAGTACCAATATGCGACAAATATAAATTCAAGAACTAATTTGGAAATTGTTGCAAAGTTCAGATGCGAGTATAATATATTTTTTTGCTAAAGACTCAATAGAATAAACAATATTCTATAAACCTTAACATAAAAGAAGAAACAAAATTAAATTTAGATTTCATTAGAATTATAAGAGAAATTTCAAGCTTAGCTAAATCATTAGATGCAAGAACTGCATTCAAGGGGTACTTGGTTCAATCATAACAATTCTATTGTCTGTTAAGGAACTGCGTCACACATTTCGCGAGGAAAACAAATGCGCTAATCATTTGACAAATCTAACTCAACCAACACGACAACATAATAATCTTAGATGAACCTTCAACTAGTCTCCTCTTACTGAACATGGACACTAGGATAATCTGTACTTTGTGATTGTAATTTTCTCTTCTCTCTTGTTACTATACAAAGAAAAAGAAACAATCTCGTTGTTTGTCGACACAAAACTTATTCAAATAAAACTGATAATATATATATATATATGTCGCATTAAATATATGCTTTTGGTAACCAAAATAGATTGGTCTCTTTCCGTAGTTTCTGGAGAGAAAAAAGAAGGAAAAATTTCCCAAATATGTCGTTTCTCAGCCAAACCCTCCTTCTCCGAGCTTCACTCCACCTTCCTCCAGGAAACCCCAATTCTGCAATCTTCTCCTTCAACCACAGCTTCGTTCCCCGATCTCTCCCCCATTAAACCCTCGAAGTCGATCACCAAACCCCCCAAATTCACCCCTTTAGCTTCAGTTGCAAATCTCCCGAAAACCCAACTCGGTCCCCACTCAATGGTTCCACTCTAACCCTCAAAACCCTTTTCTCCTTAGCACTCTCCACCACCATTGTCTTCACCAAAATGATCCAGAATTTTGCTCTCAACGCAATCTACCGGAACCGGAACGCACTTTCCAACATGGGGCCTCTTCAAGCTTAGCTAAATCATTAGATGCAAGAACTGCATTCAAGGGTACTTGGTTCAATCATAACATTCTATTGTCTGTTAAGGAACTGCGTCACCATTTCGCGAGGAAAACAAATGCGCTAATCATTTGACAAATCTAACTCAACCAACACGACAACATAATAATCTTAGATGAACCTTCAACTAGTCTCCTCTTACTGAACATGGACACTAGGATAATCTGTACTTTGTGATTGTAATTTTTCTCTCTCTTGTTACTATACAAAGAAAAGAACAATCTCGTTGTTTGTCGACACAAAACTTATTCAAAAAAACTGATATTATATATATATATATGTCGCATTAAATATATGCTTTTGGTAACCAAAATAGATTGGTCTCTTTCCGTAGTTTCTGGAGAGAAAAAAGAAGGAAAAATTTCCCAAATATGTCGTTTCTCAGCCAAACCCTCCTTCTCCGAGCTTCACTCCACCTTCCTCCAGGAAACCCCAATTCTGCAATCTTCTCCTTCAACCACAGCTTCGTTCCCCGATCTCTCCCCCATTAAACCCTCGAAGTCGATCACCAAACCCCCCAAATTCACCCCTTTAGCTTCAGTTGCAAATCTCCCGAAAACCCAACTCGGTCCCCACTCAATGGTTCCACTCTAACCCTCAAAACCCTTTTCTCCTTAGCACTCTCCACCACCATTGTCTTCACCAAAATGATCCAGAATTTTGCTCTCAACGCAATCTACCGGAACCGGAACGCACTTTCCAACATGGGGCCTCTCTTCTTCGCTTCCTTAAAGGTCCGTCCTAGTGGATACCTCAACACGCCGTTGACGGTGGTTGCTGCTGGATTAACTAAGTGGCTCGACATTTACAGGGGTTTTGATGGTTAGAGTTTTGCTCAGTTGGTTCCCTAACATTCCCTGGGACAGGCACCACCTTTCGGCAATTAGGGATCCTTGTGATCCTTATTTGAATCTCTTCCAGAATATAATTCCACCGATATCTGACACTTTGGGTGTTAGCCCGCTTCTGGCTTTTGCAGTGTTGGGTACTCGGGGGTCGATTCTCAATAGCAGTAGAGGAATGTATTGGTTGCTTGCGCCGCAAGGAGAGTGAGTAAGAAATGATAATTCAATGTTGGATTATCTATTCTCAATAGCAATAGAGGAATGTGTTGGAATCCTTGAATTATATACAAATTTTGTCTGCTTAATTGAAATGCTCTGTTTCTGTTTTAATTGAGTTTATTCGGAGGAATGCAGTAGAACTGTTCTTGTTTATTGAACTCTAGGACTGTTGAAATGATAGAACTCTGCATTTAGTTGTTGTAATGGGAATTCTTTCGAAGAATTCTTTGTAATGCATTCGAACAAAACAGGTTTCAGTTCAAGCTCTACTGAAACGTGTTGTAATTCTTCCCCTGCTTACAGGTTGCTTTTATCCCACTTCTATGGGAGCTTTTGAAGTTGCATCTGATATTATGGCTTGGAGTATATATAATATTTTGTTGAAATTGCTGGGATTTCTCGTTAAGAAACAATTTAATCTTCTTCTTCTTCTTCTTCTGAAGTGAAAATTAGCCCAAGTGGATGGATCATGGAGCCCTTAGCAGGTTTGGGTGGTTTTGAAATCATTGTCACATGTCCCCCTAGCTGTTTTACTTTACTAGATATTTTGTTGATGAGGTTGGCCAATGCACCTAAAGATTGTTTTACCTTTTTAAAATTTTTGGTTCAAAGTAGATTGAACCTTTTTTTTTTAAAGATCATAAAATGTCAAGTCATTGTCTAATTAGGCTAAACAGTGTGTTTAAAGAACTTTTTCGATTGTTGATCATTTGCAGCTATTAACATTTGAGATGGGTTGAACACTTCATCCATGATACAATTGCAAGTTGCAACCAAGTTCCATGGCCAAAACTCTAACCTAGGGGTGAAATCAATTCGGTTAAGTTTACAAACTATTTACTATAAATATGTATGTAATCCAAATTGAAATTTAATTTTTAAAACAGAACTTTGAATTAAAAATGCTACATATTCAATTTTATTGGAAACCCATTAAAACCATTATCAATTGGACTTCATATATCAATTTAATAAATAGATGGAGAAATTCCAAAAATATAGGGATATATTTTCAAAAGTGTAAAGAGTACAAGGACTGAAAGCATAATAAAACTTCCTTTAAGGAATGCGGTTTGGAGTGGAGTAGACCTAAAATATTAGAGTTAACATTGCCAAGAAATCCCAACGTCTGATTCCATAATAATCTCCATGCTCTCCTCAAAGCGACTCCACACTCTAACCCAATGCCTACGTTCCGCCACTCACCAACTCTGCTTCGCTAGAACTGATGCCGCTTCCTCCAAGCGGCGGTCCAGGGGCCCAGGCTCAGGATTTTCCTTCACGAAAACGGAAGACAAATCCGAGTGGTGGGTGGTGGACGGCGAGATGCACGAGATAGGCGATCATGTGCCTCCACGTGAGCGCTTCGTCATCCCCAGAGACAACATCCCAAACAAGCGTAGGAAGCAGCTCAGGGAACAGTTCATGCGCCGAACTCGCCTCGCTATTAAAGAATCGGTTAGCGATAAAACATAATTATAAGTGCTCTTAATAATGCAAAATAAACTGAAAACTGCAGCTGATAGTATGTTTTCTTTCTGGGTTTTGTTTGTTTTACTGAAGGAGCATGAGCCCTGGTGCAAAAAGTACATGGAACTGTATAATGAGCTTAGAGAAAATTGGGAGAGGTTGTATTGGGATGAGGGTTACTCCAAAAAAATTGCTAAAGATCATGCCAAGTATGAGTCCGCGGAGGAGGACGATCAAGATTTTAACCCTTACAGGTTTCTCCTTGCTAGTTTCTTCTTCGTCCTCTGTTAATTAATCGTGGGAACAAAATACTTAGGGTAGATTCCTTTCCATTTGTAAATTTTAGATATCTTGATTGAGGAAGTATTCATTTGTCATCATCACAATATTAATTTGTCTGAGTATTCAACTCAAAATGGTATGCTTAATCATACTCCCTTTGTTTCATCTTATAGGATCAGGGGACCTCGTGCAGATATCATGAAGGTGTGAATTTTTTACACGATTTGTTGGTAGCTTAACTTAAGATAAACACTTAATTTGATCAGATCATGGCCGTCCCATGTTGAATACATGAACTTTCCCCTTTTGTTATTATTTTGGAACATATCTTCTTCTTTACATTACATTGGATAATGTATTCTGACTGCAGGATCAAGGTTTTGTGAGGAATAGGCAAGCTGATAACTTAGGGAAAGTCAATCAGCTTCGGGATAAGTTTGAATTTGATAGAGAGAAAAGAATGAGAGAGAAAGGTATGCTCAGTTCTTTCAACTTTCAAGTTAATTTTATGTTTTATACAGAAATTTTTATGTGCTGCTTATGCTTCTATTCTATAGATCTAGAGGTAGTAAAAGCTGAATTGAACCAATCAACTTGCAATACATATATCAATGAAACTAAATTTACTAGGGAAGACAATATCTTGAATGTCATGCTCTGACCTGAAACTTAGCATGGTTTGAATCCAAACTTGATCGCTATATGTCTGTTGTTGATAGAAATGCATGCATAGCATGCAAATATCATATGCTGTGTATTATATTGCTTACATGGAGCACCAGTGTACATGTATTATGCAGAAAACTTATATCAATAAACTGAATTTACCAGGGAGGACATGATTTGAATCCAAACTTGATCACAATATGCATGTTGTAGATTAAAATGCATCAAAAGTTTATCTAAACTTGAAAAAACAAGCTTACAAATCTGCAAGCTAACTTGAATCGACTTAATAGGCTAGTTACCAAAACCGATCCAACCAGAAACAACCTATTTGCCAAATTACCACCTCTATGTAAATCCCTTGGTCCCAATTTGGCGGAAGGGTGCCCATATTCATCAAAGAAGGCAACTAGCACTATAATCAATAGTTGTTTGAGTTATTTTGTTTATTGTTTGTTATTTAAGTGATGAAAGCTTTAGCCCTAGTTCTTAATTGAGCTTGAGTATCTCATAGTTTTACTCTGTTAGGCTTGTAAACTTTTTTATGCCACTTGTGAACAAAATTATATTTTGAGCCCTTCTTCTGCATTGTCTTCCTTTACTGGAGTTTTTGGGGACTTCAGGGTAATAGTTTTGATTGTTATTTCACTTAACAAATGAAAATGCATTGAACTCGTTGCCAATGGTTTGATGCGGACTGTCACAAATAAGCTGCATTTTGCTTCAATATGCACTTCCAACGAGCTGATAAATTGTTTCTTGTGTTTGATTTACTCTTTGAATATTAATATACAGAAAATTGAATCATTTCATTGTGTTTTCTTAAACATGTGGATGGTTAGGTTTACATGAGAAATTGGAGCCTAGATATATCCATGAAATATTTCACTTCACGTAATGTAAAATGCATGAGAACTTCAGTTATGTACAGCATACAAATATTATATGCAATGTATTGTATTTCTTATATGGAGCACCTGTGTGTATGTATTATGCAGCATTTGCACCAATGAATGAACAAATTGCCATGGATGGCTACAATGCGAACTCTGGGAACCAGCCATTTGACACTCAGAGATACTTTTCTGATAGTGACTAAGAGTATAATGAAAGAAAGGGTATTAGCAAGCCACGACTGACAGCGGGGTTCTTTTAGCTGATTCATATCCGTAATACCCTTGAGCAGGTGTTGCCTGTCACACAAGAATGCAAAGGTTTTTCATGCTTGTATTGCGGAATGTTGTACTTGTAAGCAATATGGATGAAGTTTTGATTTTATACGAGATCTTCTCTCAAGATGTTTTCTTTGTTGCAAAAGAGGTAGTCTGACTATAAAGGAGTTGTAGATATTGGATATGAACTCAAAATATGCTGATAACCTAAAGTCTTACTATAAGCGCTACGATTAAGATTTGACTTGATGTTTAATGAGATTGTCCATTGAAAAGAAGAACGAGGTAATTGCAGGAAATAAAACAGTTCCACTTTCTCATGGCGAGATTCGAATCTCCTGTTTATTGAATAATTAACTTCTATATGATAACGATTGTATATACGTGTATAGATTTGCCGGGTCTTTCAAGGTGTGATAAATCCAGATTGAAAATGCCCAAATATCAAAAGAAGGGGCAGATCAATGTCCTGCCCAAATATCAATTTTGTTCAAAGATAAACAGACATAAAGGCCAAGCAGCATCCGTACCCACAGATGCAAGAAAATAAGTGGGACGATATGAATCATAAAATATCATCTCATCTGTTGCACAGTAAACGAGACTGATGATATTCAAAGGAGTAAATGGGAAATAAATTAAAAGGCATTAATGGAACACATTTACAACTTGGAATGTTGCAGAACACAAGTATAGAGTTGCTTCAGGAAATAGATTTCAATTTTCACACGAGATGGAGAATTTATATATCTTATTGACAAAGATTGATTGCCACTGGTTGGTTGAGTTTTTCTTTTCTGACATTTATGAGCTGCAGCTGTACCGGTTTCTGCTGGCAAAAGACCTTTAATAGATTAATCACGAACTGCTTTGGGTCGGGATCCCTCCTCACATATTAATCAAGGAAAAATCCCAACTTTTAGATCACCATGTAAATTTGGTATCTTTTTTAACGTCAAATCACATTTACTTTGAATGAAAAAGAAAAAGAAAAGAAATCAGAATCTCCTTAGGAAAAGAAACCTGGAGTAATCAAGTGTGATAATGCCCCCCTTAATGCTGTTTAAAACCTTAAACTTTGTTAACAGGACTATCACTTTCTTTTCCTCTCTTCTTTTACACATTATATCTTTTCTCTGTTCCTTTCCTGTAAAGGCAAAGGCTATTCTTTATATTCACGTTACCTATTTGTTTTGTTTCAACTTTTTCAATCACTAATCCCCCTTTAATAAAACAGAGTCAAATCTTGTGCTAAATACAAAATGTTCGAAAAATTAGTGATAAACAGGTCCGTGATCATCATAATAATAATTTGCAGAGATTAAGACGTGGCCCGTGATGTTACCAGAAAACCAAGAAAAAGAGCTGCCCAAGGGCCAAGGTATTCATGTTCCAACCACTCTCAAAAGTCTTCCTATTTTCCTTCAAATTCCATTTTTTTCATTAAAAATCATCGAAAAGATAGCCTTTCAATACAAGAAACAGCACCTCAACAACATGATTCTACCTACAATAACCCTCACACAATAACAGTAGTAAAAAAACTATCTTAATTCTCTTTTTATCCCAATAATCCCCTCAATATCCAGATTAAGGGCGAGAGGGAAAGAAGAACACATTCCCATGCCATTATCCCATTCTCATCATCCTCTTAAAACTATATTTACTTCATCCTATACATGAAAAAGATTAAGCATGCACTTTGGCGATGGGCAAAACAGCTAGCTTCACAACACACAAGCAGGAACCATGCAGCTCGAAAAGAAGCTCAACCCTCTCTTCTGCATCACGAAAGAGACAAAGGATTAGATACATTCATATATAAAAAGAATGACATCAATACGAAGAAGCTAGAGCATACTTTTCTGGGTTTTGCGTAAAGGAGATGTGGGGAAATTTTATAGAGGTCTTCATCAACTGGTTTGGGTGTTGGCCGGTGATGGATGGGAGTTGAACTTTGTGGTTCCTTCACGTCATTGATCTCCCAGCTTTGCCTTTTTCTTTCTTTAACATTCGACTGTCGTACTTTTGTCTGCAAAATTTTCATTCATCTTTATTACCAAAAATAACTCATTTTCATTCATTGAATCAATGCATGCTTATCAATTCACCATCGTCATTATTTCATCACATTGCCATTTTAGTTGAGGGACAAGATTTTCTTTTTCTTCTAAATTTTTTTGGACAACTTAACTCAAAATTACTTTTGTCTATAGAAAGAAAAAAAAAGAAGCTTCTGCCTAAGACACATGAATGTTCTTAGGTCGTAGATCTTTCATTTATGAGCATGCCAATATCCTTTTCTCATCCTTCCAACATTAAAATAATCTTAAAGCAATGAACTCAAAGTAAACTCCTTTACATGCAATTTTCTTTTACTTTTTTGACATTTTGGACCCTTTTGTTGTAACAAGCATAAAAACAAATGAATCAAACTAAGTTAATGAACATGAGCAAGTGAATAAGAAAATAAACTGCTATGGTTTTTAAGGTTTTGTTGTTGTTAAAACTTAGAACGTTACCCTTCTGCGAGGAACAACGATCATGGCAGGAGTAACAACATCATTATCATAAAGATCACCAGCAACATACAGATCACGATCCTCGGAGTAGCTGTAACGAAGCAATCCAGTTTGTCTTGCTGATTCGAAACACTGAGTGAAAGGGAGGTCGTTGTTCCAATCCCAGCTGCCAAAAGCTGGAACATGGCTCCTTGTATAGTATTCCTACAACACAAACCTCATAAGCCACAACAACAAAACATTAAACTGATGAGCTTGAAGTATAGATAAACATAGAGGAAGAAAAGGGTACGCTTTACTTACATCCATAATGTTACACGGAGAAAGAGAGAAATGTTAGAATATCTTGGAGATTCTCAAAGAATTCTAGGAATTTAAAAGGGGGAAGAGGGGTTATGAAAGAGAAAGAAGGAAATAGGTTAGAGTAGGGGAAGGGGGAGGAGTATAGGGGCATCCAAAGCAACAAAACTTCTGTTAGGTAAAAGGCAAAGAACTCACAGTAGCAGACAAAAGGACAAAGAGGTAAGGTAAAATAAAGGGTGAAAACCAGAGAGAGAGAGAGAGACAAGACAAGTAAACCACTAAAACATGGTTATCAGAGATTAACTTTGCCTTTTGATTTTTAAAAGAATGCTTAATATAAAAAGAATTTTTTAAATTGATCGTCTTTTTATATTTATGTGTATAAATTAAAGGAAAATAAAATTAGGTCACTTGTTATTAATTGATTAATTGATTTTTAACGATTATAATGTATTAGATACTTAAAATAATAACATTAAATATGGTAAATATTTATATTAATCAAAAAGAATTTAAATATTTAAATAAAAAATTGATATAAATATCAAATGCAACTAGGGATGGCAAAAAAACAGCACCTGTCGGGGAAAATTAAAAACTGAATTAAACGGATTGAGTTTCAAAATGATACACGGATGGGGAAAAATTGAATTTTTTTAACAGGGACGGGTTTGATAATCCCTGCCCCGATTACTCGAATACCCGGCCCGATACCCTGCTAATAAATATTAAAAATAATTATTTTATATATATATAATATTAATAAATTTAAATTAAATTAAATTAAAAATATATATAAAGGAGATTAGGATTTAAGAGAACACATCTTGATCTACTCGTCATTTTCCCTGCTGCTGCTCTTAAGTCTTGTTTCGCCGATCTTCAATTTCTCTACTCCGCTACTGGTGACTTCACTTCGCCGGTCGATCTTCCTTTCCCTCGCCACTAAGGTAAACGGTTATTTAAACGAGTAATTTTCACCGTAGTTATTCCCGCGGTGAAAATTATCCGTTTATGCTAAACGAGGATATCCGTTTCCTCGTGGTTTTCCCGATTACCGGATGGAGATCCCCTTTCAAATCCCCGCGATTTTTTAAACGGTGACTGGTACGAGTTTTTTAAACGAGAACATAGACAAAGGGATCAATCTCCGGCCCGAAACTACCCTGTTATCATCCCTAAATGCAACAAACTGAATTAAAAGAGTAGAATGTGATATTGAGCATCTAAAGTTTGAACTTGCTTTTATCAGGTTGCCTACGCACTAGTTTGTCGCTGATGAAGTTGTATATTCCAAAGCTTGAAAGCTCCTTGATGCCTGTTTTCTCTTTTGTTTTTATTTTTATTTTTATTTTGTGGGTTCTTTTGGTTTTATTTGTTCTCAAATCTCGAAGCAAAGGCTATGGATTGGCCTTTTATTTTGGCTTTTTTAACCCCACACGCATTACCCAGTAAAAACCTGGTGCTTTGTGCGCACAAGAGAATGGCTGAAATCGAAAAAGTTGAAATTTTTAAAAGGCAGAGAAAAAAAGTGTTTTTTAATTGGTGAAGGAAGAAGAAGTAGGTCAACACACTCAACAGTTTACACCGAACAGTAGCGAAGGCAACAGTATAATAAAAGCAGAAACATGCAGAAGACAAAGGCTCCTTGAGTAAAATAGAATAAAATATGGTTTGCATCAGAGAAAAGGACATGCATGTGCACTATGCAGACAAGCTGTGGCCTTTGCTTGCTCCCTCGGCTCAGCTTTTTAGTTCATACATATTTATAGATATACCAGTAATTCAGTAGTAATCCGTCTTTTACACACTGACATTTATCCAAGGTGAAAATAAATGCTTTGCTTTTCTTACTTCATGAGGGTGTAGAAGGACATTAATTATATATGGCAGTGACAGATTGAAATTCTAGACCCTAAAACCAATAACTAATTACAGAAATTCAACATGAAGACCTTGAAAAAACTTGATTACACCGTTCAGTAAAATAAATTCAAACAAAAAAGCACTCGAATTAACTTGTATTTATTAAGAGAGAGAGAGTGGTATGGTCAACTGTCATGAAGATTCTTGCGTTAGGTTGAAACCTAGAGCTTAGCATTGTCGAGAAATAGAATAAAATGAGTAAATATAAGATGGAGAAGAAAAGGTTTGATATAGAAGTAAAGGGGCCCTTCTTCTTTCTAGTGTGATGGATACGTATTCTTCTTTATTCCATATATTTTGTCGCCTATATATGCCAAGAATCTTTTGCAGCACCTTCTTGTTCAAATTGCGTACTTTCATTAGTCGAAGAAATACTTGATAGGTTCTAGCTCATCGTAGTAAGAAATCTCATTTAGGGACAATTCCACATAGCGTGCGAAAACATCTCATTTCGAGGTATAATTATCTTGCTCTAATAAACATCATATATTAATATCGACTTTTAAAAATATGAATTGACTCCACTTGAATGTAGAAGATAACATGAGTTGCCTATTGGGTATTATCCAATGGGTCAATATTATGCGTAGAATTTTGGGGCAAGCGAAGCAAAATGTACAAGTTTGGGTTCTTTTTTATTACCAGAAAACAATGTGATGAGATGAATTAAGCTATACCAACAATCCTTTTTTAGTTTTGTTTCATAGCCCCATTCAGGATCTCTGTTTTTATACATAGTCAAACTAGATTTGACAATAGATTTTATTTCACATTTAAATATTTATATAAGTGATGTTATAGTCCTCAGTTTATGTAGTGAACCGGGATAAATGAAAGCTAATTTAGACATAGGATAATGGTTTAGGGATGAAATTAGAATGTTTAAAAGTATAAGGATTAATTTAGAATGAGAATTGTAGTTTGAGGATGAAGTTAGAATATTCAAAAATTTAAGGATTAATTTAAAAAAATGCATAATTTAAGGACATGATACAATTATATCTATAACAATTCATTTATATCATAACTTTTACTCGACACAAATTTAGTTTATAATAAATAATCTTATAACATAAATAATAAATACCATATTAAATTATTTCTACTTCGAAAATTTAATAAAACGAAATATTAAATATAAAACTAAAATATTATAAATATTTTTTTTTAAAAAATAAGAATATAAACAGGTCTAATAAGTTTTGATTATTCAATTATAAATGTGTGCTTGATAAAATTTAAATCTTATATTTTAAATCGGGCTAATCTTGATGCCAAATCAACTTAATCTATAAATAGTTTTACTTTATAATATATTTATTTCAAGATACAAAAATATTTGAAAATATAATTACTTTGTAACGTTTTGACAGGTTAGACACTAATATTAGTTTTAAAAAAGATTTAAGAAAAAATATGTTTGAGAAAAGTATAATGATAAAAATTACTTCTAATGTTTGATTAAGTAGACATTTTAATCTTATTTTTTTGGAATATTTTGGCCACAATGTTTTATTTTATGGCAAAAAAGACTTATGATGTTTGATTAAATAGTCAATTTAACACTTATTTTTAGGAGTATTTTGGTCTATAACATTTCTTTTAGGCAAAAAGATTCCTAATCTTTAACTAAATAGTTACTTTGACACTTATTTTTTAGAGTATTTTGACCCCTAATATTTTATTTTAGGGCAAAATGCCCATATTTTGGAGCATTGACTATTTATTGAATAATAATTTTCATCCACAATGAGATTCTTTTATCCCAAAATAAAACGTTATAAACCAAATTGCACCCAAAAAAATGGATCAAACTAACTATCAAATTAAATATTAGAGATGTTTTCATTATATCTTGATTAAAATATGGATAGGTCTCAAAATTCAATATTCAATACCGAAGTTTAACCTATTCTCAAATCTTAATATATTGATTGTCACTTAATTTATTTATCATGTAATTATATGATATAAAAATATTACAATATTATCTTAATATATTAATTGTTTATATGTAAAAAAAAATTAATTAGAAATATACAACGATAGAAAAAAGTACATATATAATGGATTAATGTGACCAAACAAAGTTTGATGGCCATTCAAGCCGGACCCAGCTCGAGCAACTATATATAGTATTAGCTTGATATGAACTCAATTCATGGACGATTCAATTCAAAACCAATATAAATTAATATTCGACAGATTGATAATATATAATTTTATACATTATCATTGAAATTATATCGACATCCATGTCTGACAGATTATCTTTCAGATTCGGTGTTTCGGTTACAGAAATAGAGCCCCGAGCTAAGCTAAAAAAGCATATTAAACAAAACCAATGGCCAATCCACAATCCAACAAAGCCAGTGGGCCAAGAACAACCCGTGACTATGAATCCCGACAAATCTCATTCACGGGTCCAAGATTCCAGGCAAATTCCTCACATTATAAAACCCCACCGCCAAAACATTTTTGCAAACACACAAGCTCACCGATCACCATTGTTTAGCAGACTACGAATTGCCATGGCGAAAGGGAAAGTAGTTTTAATGATGATAACGGCGGCTTTAATGATGGAGGGGTCAAGGGCAATAAGTTTGTGCGACATGGACGATGAGGGTATCGAGGCGTGCAGGCCATCTGTGACACAGCCGAATCCAGTTGATCCGACGCCCGAGTGTTGCGAGGCTCTTAAAGGGGCTAACCTCACATGCTTGTGCTCATATAAGAATTCGTATTGGCTGCCTTCACTTGGTATTGACCCTGCACTTGCCATGGGTTTACCCCCAAAGTGCAAGCTCGATATGCCCCCTGATTGCTGATTAAGGTTTCCTGGGAGGAACATCAACCGTGTTTTGTCAGCCTTTCACAAATTGTAATCTCTTGTGTGTGAAAATCAAGTTTGCAAGTCTTCTAAAAATGTGTGTTAATTATTATTTGGTTTACCAAAGTTGTATGAATGGATGCAAATCATGTCTTTTGGTTTTCGATTGAAGGGTTTGTTAATAAGGTTAACTCACTATTCATTGTATGGACTTAGTCCATACAATGAACTGTGTCCAATGTCCAATATCGTATGATTGATTTGGGGAAAGCGAGAAATTAACCTTGGCCCACTAACTTAGTCCAAAAGCATCACAAAACTGAAACTTGTCTATCTCACACAAATAGACGAAATTTGCATTACATAGATCGGGCCGACTTCATGCTCTTTTTTTTTGTTTCAGGACTCGATACGCACAAGCCCACTGCATTTCAGAAACCACTACTCACCTTTTTCATTAAGATTTAACACCATTCAATTCATTTCGGTTTTCAAACATTTTACTTTTAATTGAATTTTAATAATCAATGGCGTACAACACCTTTTGTTCTAAATTTAATGGTGCATATTATATATCCAACGTACGTTTTATTTATTTTCCGAATATCTATTAAACACACACACACACACACACGAGAATCTCACCTATTCCCGTCCCATCCTCCTTTGGAACCACAACAGACGACCCCTCTTATCCATTTCCCACGATCTATACTACAACTACGCGTGCCCTTCTCTTATTCGTTTCCCTAACTATGCATCAAAGTTATTACTTTATTCCCTCCCATGCATAATAATACCATTCCTCGAAAACATTTTATAATTTTAAGAACCAATGTCTCAAAACCATTTTATTACACTCCTACCACTAAATATAGCACAAAGACAAACACAACTAAATGGTAATAAAGTTCAAAAATACCATACTTGAATTAAATTATAGCACAAAGAAAAAGATAATTAAGTGGTACCAATCTCGTTGACCCAGACAGGAACCAACGAAAAACCACCAGAGCAAAAGCTAAACCACATCAGTTGATGTTTCTCGTTGGATAAGTACACGTAACGAGAAACTTGTTGGGTCTCAACTGAACGAGGCTCAAATATTACTGTCACTGCTAACAAATTATATAATAATACTTCAAAATAAAGAGACTAGAAATTCTAGTGAAATTCATTTTAGAGCAACTGACAGCTGGAGGTTCATGAAGAACAGTATCAAAATAGTAAATACCAAAGGTCTCACCATTGATAGCCTAACGCTACCGGATAGAAACCATTTTTTTACTGATAAGGAGCCCACCCATCACAGAAAAGTTAAAGCTGAGAATGTAAATCAAAAGATCCAACGGCATCTAAGCCTCCACGTCTACGCACTTCTTGGCAGGGGAGCAGATAAGCCAAACGTATCCGTATGGATCCTTCACCTTGCCCACGCGACTACCACAGCACGCGCCGTCGCCCTCAGTTATCTCACCCTCCGCAACACCTCCAACGCTCACAGCCTTTGCGATAGCGGCTTCTACGTCCTCAGTCTCGAGGCAGAGCACACATCCTGTCCCCTCGGTTTTCACCCTGCATAAGTGAAGACAAACGAGTTACGACACCATAAAGTGTAACTAACCAAAGCGTCAAAAATGGCGATTGAACTAACCTACTGCAAAACTCAGTCTAAATAAACAGTTCTAATAACCTTAAACATTTTTATATTATAATCCCCCAAAAATTTGTTTTAGGCGAAATAAATTATCAGTTGGAGCCAAACAAGTAGAAAACATCAAAGGGGAATATAAAAAACAAAGAAAAAGAGGATAATATTTCACAACGATATTTAAATTTATCGGTATTACAGATCTAAGAAACGGGAGCTCCAAACAAAAACACCGCAAAAGCAGGAGTCAGATGCAAAATAATAAACCAGAAAAGAGAGAGAAACGTGAAAAAAAATAAGCTTCCTACCAAACAAGAAGATCTAAACGGGCTCTCTTATCCATGGCATAAACGAAACCTAACAGACAGTTTATAACTCAACGATGACTGAACGCAAATGATCACAAGGAGAAATAACCGAAGATTAAAAGTAAAAGAAAGCGTACGTAATAAAAAACTACAAAATAGAGAGGGGGAGGTAGGAGCGTACGGATCAGAGTTTTCAGCGATGTCAGAAACGAGAATGGTGGAGCCAGCTAACTCAAGTTGAGCGGAGAGGATGTGAGGGAGCTCCTGCTCGGCCTTGCGCTTAGGGTGCAAAGTACGGTCAACCTCAACCGCGCCGAAAGCAGACTTGTAGAACTGCACCGCATCAGCTGCCTTGGGTGCCTCCACCATCAGCTGAGGTTTCACCGCCGTGAACGTCACCGCCGCTACCTTCTCGACTCCTCCGTTCTGATCATCCTCCAGGGCCATTGTTGAAGCTGAAACAAGAAAAAAGGCTTTCGCAGAAAAACCAAAAACCTAGGAAACAGAAAACGACAAAAGGAAAGCCGAAAACAAAAAGAGAGTGCAATGAAGAAGGTAAAGAGGTGAGCGTCGGGTGTACTTATAGAAGCGGGGATCAGGAACCGCTTAAGGATAATATTGGTATTTGAAATAATTTCTGCGATTCCGATTTTGTCCTGTTATTCATTGTTTTATATTTTTTGCGGACGAAAAGGCCCTTGGCGTGTCATATACTCAAAGCTCATTGAGATTCAATGTTTGTTGGTCACGCTCTTCTACAGTACTTCCGTTGGACCTGAGATGGGCTCGTTAAGCAAGTAATCCAAACCAAATTTGGACTGGGTTTTGTCCTTTGTTTACTATATTCTCTTCATCATGCTTTCTTGGGATATTTACTAAAAAAAAATTAGCTAATCTTATTCCCATATGTAATAGGATAAGTGGGAGGTAGGGTAGTAGGGTATCCCAACTCCAGGTTGAGAGCAGCTTTCGTGGAAGACCTCCGTTATGAATTGCCCTCAATGAGACTCGATCCCACGACAACAAGATTAAGAGTCTTGTACTCTACCAACTGAGCAAGACGGACAATTCGCTTTCATAGATATTTACTGTTTTCATTATTTTTCCTTCCCTCGATGAAATGATTTCTGTTAATAAAAAATACATTTAAATTTACGATACTTTGTGGTGAATTGAATTAAGATTATTTTTTATAATTAACAATCAAGAGTAGTTTAATTTTGGGGGGGGATAATTAAGAATAAAAAGTAGTTTCTTAATTGATAGGGAGGAAAAGAGAGCAAACATAGTAATAATAACAACTGGGGGAAGAAAAAGAGAGGTTAGCACATGGTCAAAGTTTGGAGGAAAGCATCAGAATAAATCCAAGATATTGCAGTTTAGGCATGCGGGAGACATTTGGTCATAGACTAAAGCAGCGTCTGATTAAAAAATAAAGGATTGGAATACGGAATTGTTTATTATTTTACCCCTCGCTTCTAAATTCCACTGGAATTATTTCCCATATTAAGAAGTACTACTTGACTAAAATAATGATAATTCTGTTTTTATTTATCTTGTCACGCTAGTAACCAACTATAAGCAGAGAGGTCAGATGATAGCGTTGTTGTGGGTGTGGAGAGTTGGGAGCCGTCGGATCATACACAAGCTTTTCAACATTTTCACGGTAGGGGTTAGGGATAGGATAGAGGTGGCTCTCCGGGAGGCTTCAAAGTGTCACAATCTGCCCACCCATTTGCTTTTTCTGAGGTTATTAGTTTTTTTTTAATTAAAAGTGAATAAATTTCAATTTGACACAAAAAAATTAATTTTTTATTTAATTCAACTTATAATTTTATAAATTGAATTCAACTTTAAAAAAATTCAAATTCAAATTGAGTTATAAAATAAAACTTGAATAACTTAAAATATTTTTAACTCGATTGGATTAAACATGATCACCTATTTACAGTATTGTGTGCATATGTCACACTGTCATTGGGCAGTATACACTTTTACTTTATCCGAAAACAAAAAGGTTTTCGGCCTTGATGAATGGAGTGGAGTAGGCTTAGCCACCATACATAAACCTCATTTGGGCCTTCTGAGAAAACACTGACATTGCCAAAGTTTGGGCTATATTCATTCGCCTTGCCTCAGCTTTTGGATTTAAATCACGTTTTCTATTACTGGTAGGGTATATTATTTTACCCAGTGAGTTGAATTGCAGGTTGCAGTCAAAGAAATTAAAGTTGAGAATTATACTATCTCATCCGGTCTGCTCATGTAATGCTTACTTGTGATTTCATTTTGCTGTTGAAGAGTCTTGTTCTTATTGTGGGTCGTATTTTCAAGTTGCTTTTATTCTTATTTTGTTTACTACCTAATACCTACATTGATTATTTTATTGGTTATTTTGTTGGATAAAAAGACAAAATATAGCTCACAACTGGTGCAATCTTTTTTTTATTAAGTAAAAAAATTATAATTTCTTGTCAAATATAAGGATTCGAACTCACATAAAATGAGACAATAACTGATACATTCATTTTGCTATTTTTTAATATATTACTTCTACATAGTTACGAATATAATGTGTATCATATAAATTTGTGATCCTAAAATTGATATGTATATCTTAAATTTAAGAAAGGAGAAGATTTTTATTATTTTATAATCATTAAGTCAGTCTACTTTCCCTCCTGTTTATTTATCAAGACATGATTAACAAATAAAAATTAGAATATATATTTTATTAAAATAATATATTTAGAGAAATTTGTTTATTTGCTCACAAATAATGTATTTGAAATAATGTCCTTATCAAATTTTTTGAAAAAAAAATGTTTTCTTTCGTTTTTCTTTTAATTTTGATGGGATAGATGTTCACCCACAAACTAATTTAAGATTCATAGCTAGATAAAAACATTTATTATAAATTTAATTTTATAATTTTTAAAACTATTTTATTAACTATTACGTAAATAATAAATAATTAAACAAAATTGCTAGTAAGTTTCATCCAAGCCGTCTTAGCTCAGCCGGTAGAGCGCATGGCTTTTAACCATGTGGTCGTGGGTTCGATTCCCACAGACGGCGTTTTGAGCTGTTCTTGCAATTTCCTCTCATTGCTGACTGTTCAAGGTTAGGTTATCTCTGTAATTATACTTTTTCTCAATCTCCAAAACCAGAAATCTTGCACACTGCTTTTCAAGTTCTATTTTCT